TGTGGTGATTTTTTTTTTCATCAGCTCTTGAATTTTTGGTATCAGAATAGCTAGATCAATAAAACAAAAGTTGGGGGGAAACATTCTTTCTGATTGATTCAGCTGCCATTTTGGTATTTTGCCTTAATAGGGCTACAAGCAACTGAATCTATTATTTTATTCCCCCCATATATTAATACACTAACATCATACTTCTAGGGATGCTTTTGACCACTTGTCTTTTAAAGGCCTGATACAAATCAGAAGGCGTAGGTAGTTTTGGGTGATGGTTCATTTCATCTGTGCCAAATTAAAACCAGAAATGAGCACATTCTTCCCTATATGATTTAACATAATTTTAAATACTACTTTTAATAAGGTTGATGTAGGGTTCTTCATGAAGGTGTTTTGTCTTCACATTAAGTTCATCTGATCCTTATTGCCACCCAGTAATAACTTCTCTTTCAATCTTTGCTCTCCTACCTTGAACTTCCCACTAGACATTCCCAACATTTCCACAAGTCTCATAATTGTCTTAAACACCAAGTATCCAAAACAGCCATGTGACCTCCTCCCTCGAAACAGCTCAGATCCCAAATTCCTGATTTCTGTTGATAGTACCATCTTTCATTCGCACATATGCTATAGCCTCAGTCATTATGATAGACATGTCTCTCTCTCTCTCTCTCTCTCTCTCTCTCTCTCTCTCTCTCTCTCTCATCTCCATGTATCCATCCAGTCATCACCAAATCTTCAGTATTTCTCAGGGATACTGAGTTAAGAAGGTATAAGGGGCAGATCTCTGCTGAGAGAATTAACTTTTGCATATGACTTGCCTATACCAAAACTTCCAGAGGGTTTCTGATTAATATGAGTTGCAATTTAATTTGTTCCCCTTTATTCATAATTCAGAACCTTGTTCTCCAGCTCACCAGCCCCCTGAGACCACTACCATGAACTAGTCAGAACTCAGACCCACACCCACAACATTTGCACTGAGCTTTGTTGTTGTTTTGTTATTGTTGTTTTTGCCAGAGCAAAAGTTCGCCCATCCCCTCTTACTTTTTCTAACCGATCACAATCTTATTTGTCATTTAGTTCTAATTTTAAGACCATCAATTCAGCAGCTGATTTTCCCCAGTTCTGACCTTCCGTTTGTAGGTGTGCCTCTTTTCCCAGTGTCCCGTGCCTATCTTGCCTAACTCCCAAAGTCAGGCACCAGGGTTTGCATTGCTTTTGTTTTCTTCACTGTGCCTTGCACGATGCTAATAGGCACTCATTGTTGGACAAATACTTGCTAATTTTAAATTAAAGGGAATTGAACCAATTGTTTTCTTTGCTTGAGGTTGGTTATAACAGGTTGGAAAAATGTTATGTTTAATCTCCATCTCTTCTCATGTGTTTATGGACTGTTTTATAGCCAAGAAATAAAATTCAGTATAACATAGGCCTAACTAATGTGGAGGCCTCCTCTGCTGGGCAGTCTACAGAATTCAAACACGCCAGCTGGATCACACTGCTTTTCAACTGGCTCTCCCTTCAGGGAGGGGAGAACAGGCAAAATGCCTCAGGCTCTGAGAGTGGGAATGGTGTGCTTCCTTCCAGAGTAGAAGCTTGTGTTCCCCCTGCAAATGCAAATCTTGCCATGAGGTTATAGCCACAGAATGTATAAATATCATTAGAAATCTAGAGAGGGATTTTTCCCTAGAAAAATATTGCAAACTTAAAAAAGCCAATAGGCTAGGGTACAATTTGGTATAATCCCCTGGCCAACGCCTGCCTGTACTTGGATGGTGGTTCTGGGGAAAGGAATCATGGGACTTTCTCCAGCTCACATCTGGCAGGTCATTGGTAGATTGCATTAAAGTTCCACACGTGTGTTGCACTCTGTGCTCCACTGGGACGTTTCATCTCATCCAGAACCCAGTGAAGGGTCCTCTCATACAGAAGCTGCCACGGGGAGCCTGCACAGCGGAAGTGGGCAGCTTACACTGAAATCGAACAGAATGCCCGTTGGCCTGGTTATGTGATGGAGAGTTCACTGGGGAAGTGCAGCAGCCTGCCTTTGGAGCTGCCACGCCCTGAGCCAGCAACAGTGCACGGAGAGAGCATTAGTCTCTACTGAAGCCACCGGCTCCTACGGAATCCAGCTACATTTCTTCATCTTCTCTGCTGCCACCCGGGTTGGACAGTGAGAGTTGGGTCCCTGTGCAATGCTCTCAGAGGCAGTGGACTGTTCTCACCTCCTGTAAAAAAGAAGGACAGTTTTAAACATCCCCCGTTTTGCTGTAGGAGTGTGAAAACAGACTTCTGCTTCATTTTGCTTCGGGGGGATTCTGATCTATTTGTTTTGTGAGATGGAATGTTTTCTATGGAGATATGTTTGGCTCATAGAGGCATTGTGCTAATCAGTTTGTTACTGGCTCAAGGCTCAAGGTTCTCATGTGGGATGCTTCAAAGGCCAATATTCAAAACGTCAGAGTTTGGAGTAAGTAAAGGTTTATTGATGGAGAAGATGCCAACTGGAGAAGATGGAGGGATGCCTTATAGCTTCTGCAAACCCATCTTAAGAGAGCCCAGATTTCAGGCATCTTTTATGTCATGAGAAGGAAGGAGGGGCAGGGCAAGAGGTGTGTGTCATCCAGGCACCAGCAGGGACCCAAGGAAGAGCACGAAATCTCTAAATCTGTTTGTTCCCCTGCTGCTCTGATCTGGTCTTGAGGCCCCGAAATCTTTACCAAAAGCTCCAACCTCAAGCAGAATTCCTCTGATAATTAGCATATCTGGAGCAGGAGCTGTTCACCTGAAGGCCAAGGGAGAAATGCAGGCTAGAACGAAGGGAGTCGGAGAGAGCCAGAAACCCACCCTGGGAGAAGTGAAGTTCATGTGCAGGCCATGGGAAGAGGTCAACAACTGTTCACCTGAAGCAAAATTCACAGGTGTCTGGCATCTGCAAGTCTCTTTGAGTTGTTTGGAGAGGTGACTTGCAAACCAGTGAAAGCACCCTTCTGAGAACCACACACCTCTTTTTCTCTCTACTCAGTTAGGAAGCAAAACACTGGCCTGCGAATTGGGAATCTCTGCTGCAACCGGACATCAAGAGAGGTGTGCCCCAGAGGCTCCTTTCCCTGCCACCAAGCGCATGAGGGATGAGGGCTGAAACGAACTCTTTGCGAGGCAGCTCCTCAATGCGTTCCCTACTTAAAAGAATACTTAAAAAATAAACATTTAAAGGAAACATCCCATTACCAACAGGATGGCATTTTCAGCCTAGAACATATTTGTCTTTAGCCTTTTTCTGCATTTCTGCTGAGGCTTCAGACTATTCACCAAGGAGCAGAGGACCTACGGGCAGATGCTCAGAGGTTCCATTGGTACCGTACACGGGAATGAGGCAAGGACATTGGGCAGAGCGTTCCAGGTTAGGAATTTAAAACGTGGATGTCATAAATCTCACAGCTGGTCAAGTGGTGGAGAATTAAGATACACACTCGGTCCTCTGAAGGACTCCCTGGGGCAGTGTATGAGCGGTTTTCCTGCATGTCGGCACACAAATCCGTATTCAGACGGTGTATGTAGAGATGTGTTTTCTTAGAATTTTTTAAGAGCACAAAAGTATATGGAACAGCCCTAGCCGGGTTGGCTCAGTGGATAGAGCGTCAGCCTGCAGACTGAAGGGTCCTGGGTTCGATTCCGGTCAAGAGCACATGCCCAGGTTGCAGGCTTGATCCCCAGTAAGGGGCATGCAGGAGGCTGCCGATCAATGATTTTCTCTCATCATTGATGTTTCTATCTCTCTCTTCCTCTGTGAAATCAATAAAAAATATATTTAAGGGGAAAAAGCATATGGAACAAAAACAATGGTGGGTTACCCACTGTCTGAAAATGAAAGTATAGACCCTGAGACATTGTATACCGATTCAGAATTATGCAGCCATTCTCGGGGACCACGCCATCCCATTACCCATGAAAACATTCTTGTTCATAATTTCTGCCTGGTGCGGGGTAGTGAGCAGCGCTGTTTCATTATTGCCGAGAGTGTACAGTCACCAGCATGAGGCCAGGACGGGTCCTGGTGGAGCTCCGCGTGTGATGATCAGGTGCCTCAGTGATTTCAGGGAGATATTGGCGTTAGTTGTCAGATGTAGCAACAGCTCTCCAAAGGGTGGTCTGCTGAGTTCACTTTAAATCAGCCCAAACCTGCCCCTTGGGAGGTCTTGGAAGTGGATGCCTTGTTTATTTACCCCACAGCTTATTTCCACCGGGCAGAGGTGGATGCTGGCCAGGCATGCTGATCTGCTCCGCCATTCATCAAACTGGAGGGTCAAGGTGTGGCCACACGTGGGATTCCCAGTGGCTAAAGGCATGAATGGACCCTTCTCCTTCTGTGAGCCTTTATTCCTCCTAAAACTCCTTAGATCCCCAGGAGGATGCTGGGGAGGCCCCTGAGGCAGGACACAGGTTCTGTTTTCTTTTGCTTCTCTCCTTTCTGCCGCCCTCCAGCTAAACCTCCTTAGGATGGCTTGTTAGCATGGTCCTGGGTATTGTGAGTGTTCATTGAGCTCTTTTGTTCACTGGGAAACACACTAGAGAACTTTTATGATTACAGTAGGTTGTTTTACTTTTCATTTCATGGCCCTGTGCTTGGTGACGCTGATGAAAGGTTTTTGTATTTCCTGGTTCCATTAAAGCAAACCACACTGGCCCATTATAGGAACAATGCGTGGGGGTCATTTGTCGTGGTGTGGTTCGATGGCTGCGGGCCAGGATATGAAGATCTCTAGTGTCTGCGTGACTCCTGAGGGCAGCACCCATGGGGAGGAAAATGTATTACAACCTGCTGTTGGCTCCCAGGAAAAGAATGACTGTGAGACTCAGGGACCCTGGAAGATGGCTAGGGTTTGCTCCAGAACTGCCATGCGTGTCAGCTCATGTGTGATTTCCACAGCCTTTAAACGGCACTTAGTGATCGTGGTCTTCTTGGCGTTGGCTTCATCTTCTGCCTTTTTGTGTGATTGCAGGTCCTACAGGTATGGATCTCTGGAAGCTGCTGTTGACCTTGGCAGTGGCTGGCTCAAGTGATGCTTTTTCTGGGAGTGAAGGTGAGTTCTCTGTTCCCACCGGCAGCATTTTGAAATAATAGTGAACTTTATTTGTTAAACCTAAGTTCTTGGTATGATGTCATCAGAATGCGTTACGTTTTAAGTAGTGGCAAATAGGAAATGCATCTTTGGAATCATAAACTCAGAGGACTTTTCTGTGGGTGTTTTACAGGAAACACAGTGGCCAGCTTTGGCATCTGGTGTTTTCACATCAAAAATAAATGCCCCCAAATCATGCTGCAAGCATTTATCTGAAGGCAAACCAGGTCTCTTGGTCCTCGGGCTCCGGGAAAGACGCTGAATTACACTGAGGGGTTATTAACCTACTGATCACTTAGCTCCTGTGTGATTAAGGATACCGTAGCCTATTTGCAGAGCTCAGGATTAAAGCCTCTTAGTCATATTCTCTGAGAGTGGAAATTGCAGGTTTCAAATACATGTTGCCTCTTACTCTCTGGGTGGTGACCATCTGGCTAAGTTTGAAGGATGAGACACCTGAAATAGTGAATAAGACACTCAGAAATAAAGACGCCCGGACCTGCTTGGCCATCCCTGTAGTTCTTCCTGGTTTTACCCGTTTCCTGGTGGAAAGTCCATCTATGCAAACATATGTCTCAGAGCAGAAATAACTGGACCAAGAAAGGGTAATGGAAGGAAGAAAGAAGAAGTTTTCTGCCCAGAAAGAAAACTGTGCTCAGAAGGCGTTGGGGAGCTTCTTCAGAGATTGTCTTGTACTTGATGTTTTCCCGGCTTGGGCGTCTGCAGAGGGAACAAGCCATCTCTGTCTCCCAGGCTTGTGGCGCCACATGCGGTGGCTGCTTTAAGAGTAGCTGAGCCCCCCTGCTCACCGGGCAGCTCCTGTTGAAAATGAGTTTCAGAGCAGAGGTGGTGCCCTCAGAAGTCCTCCCTGACCTTTGCGCCCAAAATAAATCCATAGTACTGAGCTGCTGAGGGCGACCAGGGTAACTAAGAACACAGGCAAGGTAAAATATGTTACTTTATCTCTTAAAGCAATGGAGAAACATTTATAGAAAAGCAGTCATAATTGTTTGAAATATTTTTGGGTCTCTCTGGTGTCATAATGTCAACATTGTGCAAGTCAGACATGGAGGGATCCCAGGCCGCGTTTCAGCAGCTTTTCCCAGGGCCGGCTTTAGCCCCTGGTTCCGAGCCAAGGCATTACAGCTGGGCCCCGCGCTGTTCCAAAGTCACGGCGCTTTACTCTCGACTTTCTTCATTAAGGTGACTTTCACGCCACTGGGCAAGGCTTGAGGAGTTTTAAAAACCTGTAAAATGGAAAATATGGCAAATGAAATCTCTAAAGATGTATCTTTAAAAATGTATCCCCACTGAAAGATGAACTCAAGTTACACTTTTGACCTAGAAAAGCTGCAAAGAGCCTCTCTGTCAGCGGCTTTGACATTTTAGCTTGGACATAAACCTTTAGCTTCATGAGGAAAGTGGAGAAAACAGCACCATTAGCTGGCTCCGTGTTGCCTTTTGGTTTTGCTTTCTGGTAGTTTTAGGTTTGCGTTGTTTCTGCGTTTGGGAGGAGCAGGGCATGAGAAAATGCAATGCTTGATAGTAAACACCAATCCGGCAGCCAGCCAACACTTGCACATGGTAAGTAATTTAGCAAAGGGACAGATTTCTTCCTGCTCCTTTTTCCTCTGAGTGGGCTAACCAAAATCCCTTTGAAGTGTGTGGCTACTCCAGAATTCTTCCTTAAAACAGCCTGGGGATTGTCAGGGATGGTGCCTGATGTTTCTGTAAGGAGGTGTGGATGGGCGTGTTTGAGCATGAGTGTGCCGATCTGGCCATTTATCTGATGGATTTAACCGAAGCGATCACATGACAGAACGAGGATTAAATGTCAGATAACAACCATGGGCCATGTGTTTCTTTCTCTGCCAGGCCGGATTGTAGTCAAATCATTTTATTTTTATTTCCTCTCTCATTGAATAAGGTAGACTAAAAATACAGGTGAGGATGGAAAAAAACAAAACAAACTCTAGTGTACTTCACCACCCATTCATTTGAATTCCATTTGGTCAGTCAGAGATGTGCTCTGCTGGCTGAGGGACCTGGGAAGCGGCAGCTGGAGAAAGGCGCCCGGGAGCTGGTGGGAGATGACAGATGTGTGTGCCTGGGGAAGGTTGGCACGTGAAGTGTTGAGCAGGGATTTTCATGCCTGGGCAGATGAGCAATTAGGAATATACTGGCCCTGAGAGGCTTTTTTATTAAGTCTAATTGCCCTATGGGAAATTTAACAAGAACTAAACACTGAACAGTGCCACCATTGTCTTAGCTCGTGTTGCAATAGATGCTCTCTCGTCTTTCATCCTGCACATTGGTCTCTCCTCCTGCTCCTCACGGCAGGTTATAGTCTCGGGGAGATTTCTTATTCCAGAATCAGAGTGACCGGCAGCACCTCATTTCCAGGGACCTTCACGGAGTCGAACTGTCAACTGGCCGCTTCAGAACTGCCCCTTCTGGGTGATGAGTTTAATGAGGAATATGTTTACAGATTTGATGGACGGAAATTTTCTTCCGAGGAGTGCCTGTTATACATGAGTCTCATCTCTTCAATTTCAGTTAACCCACCCCTGAGCATCCCCTTTGCTGGATGCTCCCCCCTCAGCAACCCCAGGAGGGAGCTGGCCTGCCTGGAAAGTTCATCTAGTCAGGACGTGAGGAACTCCTAGAAATGAATGAGAGACTGTGGAGCTTGCAGGGATGGTGTGAAGGGTGCTAATGGTGAAGGTGCTCTGAAAAAGAATCAAGGTGGACCAGACTAGTTAGTTCAACAAATTCGATGTACAGATATTTTTTCAGAGCTTTCTGTTTTCAAAGATTGCACTTAGGGCTCTGAGGAATACAGTGATTCTCCCCTCAGGAAATTTACCATGAGTTAGGAGATAAGGATATACACAAAGAATTACAGTAGGGCCCTGCCAGTGTGGCTCAGTGGTTGAATGTTGACCTATGAACCAGGAGGTCACGGTTTGATTCCTGGTCAGGCCACATGCCCAGTAAGAGGCATGCAAGAGGCAGCCAGTCAACGATTTTCTCTCATCATTGTTGCTCTGTCTCTCCCTCTCCCTTCCTCTCGAAATCAACAAAAATATATTTTTAAAAGAATTACAGTAGGAGGCAATGTTGATTAACTATGGAAATAGTAGCCCAAACTGCAGCCTTTACGTGTGAGGAGAGGAAGGTCACTTCCGGCTGTACCGAAGTAAAGAGAACTTCACAGAAGCTGGGATATAGGAGAAGCTGATATGATAAGGGAGCAGCAAGGACAGACGTGTGCAGGAATCGACACGAGGTGACACAGAGAGCAGGTTCTAGAGTAGCTGGGTTTCTACTCTGGACAGGGTGCTGTCCCAGGCAATGCACGGTTCCTGTTCACACATTCAGTATCCAACAGATACGTTTTGAGCCTCTACTTTGTGGAAGGCATAGGATTAATTTGGCCAGAGCGTGTGGTCCATGAGCACTGTATTTGTAACTGTTCCCTTTGGAAGTAAACTTAGGTCAATAGATTGGAGTTAAATTACAGAAGGCCTACAGGTGGTAAAAGCTTCGTGGAGAAGGTAAGACTTGCTGGGCCTTCAGCATGGCTAGTATTTGGAGAGGAAGAGACGAGAGAGGAAGTGTATGCCATATCCTGCAAGTCATGGTTTTTCTCAGAGTTGTAGGCCAGCCAAAAGTGCTAAGCTCATGATAGAACATTTGTGTGTATGTGTCTAATATTTATATACAGCATATATAATATTTACATATAATATATGTATATGTGTATGTCTATCCATACATTATATATAAATATTATATTAAATATT